GGAGGTCGTTGAGGGCCTCCTCGACCGCAAAAATCTCGTCCTCCTCAATCTCGTTGGGCTCCATCTGGACGTGGTGCGCAGCCGATGAAGAGGTAGTCCTGGAGGTAGTCGAAGTTGCCCCCTTCTTCTCCAATCCGACCTGGGACGCCTGGAGCTTTGTTTCGTGTTTTCGGATCCATTCACGAATGTCACTGGGTTTGATGGATCCTCTGGAGTAGTTGAGCAGGGACTTGATGTCGGCGTCGTTCAAGCCCAAGGCATTGATGAGCAAAAAGCCCACGTACCGCTCGGGGAGCACGACGGAGTGTTCAGCCACCTTCCGCATCGCCACGTCCCACCGGCAGAAAAACTGCCGGAAGTGTTCCTCCTTGCTCCTCCGAAGATGGTACGTGATCTTTGCCAGGGCTGACAGTAGGTCCGCCTCCCGATCATCACCGAAGTTCTCGGGGAGCTCCATCAGGGTGATGAGCTCCTCTCCATTTCCATCACTGTTCATCCAGGCCCGATCCCGGGCGAGGTACTTCATCGTCTCGAACGGCGTCTTGGTCAGCTTCTGGAGAAGAAGTGGCCCACGTGCACGGGGACGGGCTTTCGTGGTGGCGAGCCAAAGACGAGCCTTGATGGCATAGTCCTGGAACGACGGCGTCTCGCCGTCCCACTCCGGAGGTGGCCCGCTGCTACCAAGGCCGCCACCACCATCGCCCGTGTCGCTTTCATTGCTCCGGGTGGAGCCGCCCTGTCGCCGCTGGTGGCGATGGGGATACCTGGCCTTCACAAAGGCCCGAAACTCATCACTATCAAAGGCCTCCTCGGCCAACTCTTCCTCATCGAGGTCGCCAGGGTTTTCCAACCCTTCATCATCCACATGGCCAGCCGGCCGGGAGGTCGCGGACGTCGCGACGGGCGGCATGGCACCAACCGAAACCAACCAACCCCAAAAAGGGACACCCCAAAACAAACGAACCAACCGCCAGGTCCAAGGGCCGGACCTGGCTCCGCTACCACTGTGGGCAGCTCACCCTTTTACCGTGCATGTCCCCTGCACGCTTGGGCCACTCATGGGCCACCTGTACCGAGCGATCTCATCCAACCGATTGCGACGTGTTATTCACAGATCCATATGTGCAGTCCTTACTGTCGATGGAACAACTCTTGCACGGCCTATGAACAGACTGTCATTGACTGGCTTGAACCCACTGGCCACACTCCTCGGCCTCCTCACACGCTTCGAGGCGACGCTCGAACGGCTAACGCAGCCTCGCCCGAAAACAGCTGCATGACATGTGATGGGCCAGGACCTTGTGTAGGTGCAAGCACAAGCATTTCACATCATTTAACTTTGATCAATTTTGATTTTTGATCCATTGAATCTACTGAGAAAGGATTTGCAGCACCCCTAATTACACACCTAAACTGGATCTGCAATCTGCAACTGGTAAAGCAATGAGTGGCGGAATTCGTGGGATTCATATTAAGCTGCAAATCATTTGCGTTCGTGCCATGTCATAAAGACATATCGGTGGATCTGATTTGTGCATCCAAGTAGTATACTGTGTTTTGTGTTGTTTCTTTTGAATTGCGTGCCTGATATGGTATAATATGATATATAATTTGTGGTCTTGTGCTGAATGTCTGAGAATTTATCTTGATTGTCGGGGACGTGCTTGGAAGTGCTCTTGAATGAACATGCTATGCTGGCTTGCTGTGAGTACTCCTGCCCCAGAATGAAACAGAATGATTTGTAATGATTGTGAAAGAACATGCACTATCCAAAGTGACGTGACCAAAGTCATACATGTTGTGGAACAATTAGGTGTGTGAAACTTGTTGGACCTAGCATGATCTAGCCCTTGTTTCATCCGTCGCCTTCAAATACATAAAGGTACTGTAAAGCATGGTCAATGCGTGCCACGCTTCCTCCGGTCCCTACTTCCACCGAGGCACGGCATGGTAGAGCGGCGTGCGGCCGCGACGGTCTGGGGTGTCAGGACTGGCCCCTTTCGACAAAAGCCAAGTGCACATGGTCGTGTCCTTGCGGATCACCTGACGAGGCGGACAGCCAAGTTCGGAGCAAGAAAGAAACGATCAAACAACTGGCAGTGGGTGACGTGGAGAGATCATTCAAAGATAGAGCATATCAACTTCCCGAACCCAGTAGATCCAGTGATCACTAAATGTCGGCGACCCAGGGGAACTCATTTGGAAGAAGTTGTCGGGCCGGGCCGGGCGAGCGCCCAACTCTCAGGACCCTGGCTTTCCTGCTATCCGCCCATTCCCTGAGTGAGGCAACTCGCCCCTGGAAAAAAAGCACATCCATCCACATCTGCTGACGACCCCTCAGGGGACGAAAGTCAAGCCCTGATGTTCGATTATTTCTGGTATTTTGGTGTCCATGCATCACCGTGACCGTACCCCTTGGAAGAGGTCCACATGGAACCTGATAACGACTGGTGTGTTGAGGTGTAAGCGTTCGTCTTCCTTGCAGGTCCATGTCGTTCGCCCGGTTCAATGTGGGCATCTTTCTGGGCGTGGTCGGGAAAAAAACCCAACATCCTTCCACAGCTTCTCCGCTTCACCCATCCCTCCATTCGTCCCGAGCCACAGCTTGCGCGAGGGCGCTCCATTCTGGGCCAGAGGCCGACACCTCGGCCATTCGACGTCGGCACATTCGTCAGGTCGAGGCCAAGAGGATTGGATCTCAGCAATCCGTCCAAGAGGCATCCGTCGCTCACTCAGCGCTTTCGAGTCAGAACCGGCAGTTCAATGATTTCTGAGTTGGGCTGTCGGTGCGTCCTCCAACTTCCAAACCATCCAACCATCCACACTGGTCTCCTAACCATGATTTCCAACCAGCTTGCTGGTCCATGGGATCCACTACTGGGTCCACTGAGTCCACAGCAAACCAACCATTTCGGTCCCACAAGCCTGACCTGTAGTGACGAGGGGAACGCAGGCAGTCGCAGTTTTTCGGCAGTCGTGCCAGCTGCTGCTGGCGGTGTATGTCAGGTGCTGCCAGCGTCGAACTCTTCCACCACACACATCTCTCTCTCTCTCTCTCTCTCCCTATGTATAGATAGTATAGATAGTTGGCTTTTTAAATATATAGAGGATTATAGTGGTCCTTAAGTGCTATGAATGCACCACACCATGTTTGTCAGAATTGTGTGCACCAAATATGACAGAAAATTCAGCCAAGCTGCATCATTCACGTCAACACCTGGCCCAAAAAATGGTGACCCCGCCAAACAGGCTGTCAAGACTCCATTCTGTCCAGGTCTGATGACTCCACCCGAACAAAAAAAAACGCATATACATATATATATATATACTTATACTTAACCCTGTATACGTGTTCATCATTGTGAATCTAATTATACAAACTCGCAGGGTAGCTTCACAGCCAATTGCAGCATGACCTCCTCAAAGTGACTGTGGTATAGAGGTAAACTCTGGTCAGTTGCCAGCTGCCGGACACGAATTGGCTTAGATCTAAGGACAGCCTTTCATGAGAATAAACACTGGCCGTGTATTCACACAACCCCCATCATTGTTCTCACCCAAGACCTAAGCTAGTAAAGCTAGAAACCCATAGATTCGCCCACCCGATGTCTAAAAGAGACATGACATGGCCCAACTGGACGTCAAAAGAACTAAATCAAGTCACCTCCCAGTCCTTTTCACACGTGTTCACCGCACCGAGTTTTGGGAGCAATCTCTGGGCCCTTCCGAGTGCCGGCCATCGATTCTGGCGGGCGAAGCCTGAAGCCTCGACCGGTGCGATCCGCTCCGCGCGATGAACCCGCGCGTCCTGGGCGGTTCCGGTCTCGGTCGACCGTCGCCTTTGAGGAGCAAAGCGCTGGCGGCATCCTGATCACCACGTTGACAAGCCTGGCAAGCGATGGTCTCATCGCTACGAACATAGCTCCTGGCATTGCTACTACGAGTATTAACAAGAAGCTACGAACGTAGCAAGGGGCATCGCTACGAACGTGAAGAATTAAGCGCATGCTTTCGCAAAGGACCCACCCAGGTTTGTTGAGGGATCAGTTCAGTTATGTAACGTGCCCAAGCCGCCTTGAGTGCAAAAGGCGGGGGGGTCATTCTTCTCGATATTTCCCTGATTGAATTGGTGCATCTTGGGTGGTCCCCAGTCGCGATCAAGGACAGTCAATGGCCTCTGCATGCCTCTGCTAAATTGTGATCATGACTGAATCGCTAAGCGGCAAACATCCAATGACACAGATCAACAAATGTCATTGATGGCTCTGCCGAAAGCAAATGTACGGATGATCATGGATGATCCCTGAATTTACTCGCCTGAGATGTCCCCCAAGCACCAAACCTCAAAAAGAGTGGATCCCTGGCAGTTCTGACCATTCTCCAACCCCGCCTTGTGAAAGTCGCTGGCCAACTGAGCCACATCCACACCGCTCTCCTGAAGACGCCGCATGGACGCCTGAGTTGGCGAGGATTGGATGACCACATCGCTGCAAGGGGAGAAGTCGTCACTGGTTTTGAAGGGACTGGATCTCAGGGTGGAATCCCATGACTATTCGCGTCGTCATAGTCTCGCTGAAGTTTCAACAAAACTCAGGTCCCAGCAGAATAGTACTGCGCCGCGACCTGCAGCACGCCGACCAGGAGAAGAATCTTCTTCAGCGCCATAGCTGCCATGAAGCTTTGGAAAGACGCTTTCACCTGTCAAGATACGTCGTAGAAGCTTTCAAGCTGCGAGCCGCTGCGGAAAACGGATGAGTACTGAAGTGGCCATCCAAAAACTCCAAATCTGAAAAAGGACCCCTGAGTTTGGCGATCGGAGACTGCTTATTTGTGTTTGTTTTTTTGATTCGCCCTTACTTAATTAAGTAGCAGGCGTACAATTATATAAGGAGTAGGGCCCACGCTCCTAGGACACCGGATAGCTCACACTAATTTGGTTCCTAGATTTTAAGGGAAGCTTAGCTGTGTGTCTCGTGTCTCTCGGGTCCAGTTTTTCTTGCCTCCTGGTCGGGGAAGGAAGGCCTGGAGACAAGCGCTGGTTGCGGTAAGCAAGTCGCAACGCAGGTAAGTACTGTATGTAATGTATAGACTATTGATTAATACACTCCCCCATTTGAATCGGAGGGTCTTCATATCGTTCATATGGGGGGCTTATTAATCAAGAGTCTACATTAAGTACACTCCCACTTGCGTTCCATGGATGTGGAAAAGCCCTTTTTGTCTGGACCAGAAGTTGCTTTCCCAGGGTCCATCCTCTTGGAGGTTGTTGATGCATGTGCAAACAGCCTGCACCCTTGTCTGCCAAGAACCCTGTTGACGAAATCTTTCATGAAAGTAGGCTATACAAACTTTGTCTAAGAACCATCCAATAGCCCAATATGATGTAAGAGTGAGACATATCCCTCAGTTGGAGCCAAGGGAGGAAGCTCATCAAGTAACATAACAAACCAACATTGTGGACCTACCCTTGGTAGGCTGGGCAGAGGGAACCTTCGCCCGTTTTGGCCAAGCACAAGACGCGGCACCAGGCACCTTCAGATACCTTCTTACTGTACATTACATAAATATTGCAGGAGGCAAAGGCAGGATGAAAAAAGTTGGAAAACACATGCTCACTGGTCTCCGAGTCTCCGGTCAGTATTTGATATGCCACTCACTTCGGGCGAATAACGATGCTCTTGTCCAGCCAAGCCACGAATTGTATTCAGGGGGGAGGGCTACGGGTAAGAACGCTCAGGTGACGGATCAAAAACGCCAAAGTATAGGGTAAGAACGCTCAAGTGACGGATAAGACCGCCGATGGAAAGGCGTTAACGCGTTAAACATTGAACATACACACAATTGACATACAACAAGCAGGGAAAAGTGAAGCATAAAGTGCATTCTGCATAAGAACCGTGCCTCTAGCCCCTGGGTGTAGGGCGCTCATCCTCACAATGAATCCCTCACGTGGTGGTGCATCCGGATTCAAAGGACAAGAATGCCTACACTCAAGTACGGATGAAGGCGCCGTTACCGCGAGGACCCGCGAGGGCTGAGGGCGTCTTGGAGACCATAGATGTGTTGGTTCTACAGGAGTACCAACCAATAGTTATATAATGTTATATACGAGAATCGATGGTTCTTACTGTACTTACCGCCACTTGGGTATATCATCCCATTACCAGCAACAGTGGATGACGATGATTAGTACAACTATTAGTACAGGCCTTTCTCAAAAAAAGTGATAATCCTTTACTGACTGTTACTGGTAATGGGCTACACCCTACTTACCACTACAGTATATCCACTATGGAACCATATGCAGGGGTTCTGACGGTCTGTGGTTTTCAACTAGACCATCCCATGGGGCATAGGCCATTAGCCCATATACATTGACCATTCACCACCCCCAGTGTAGGTCCAGTCCGGCCAGTCCCTCAGTCCCTGGCGTCTGGCCCTGGCGGCCAGGCTGTTGTCTTCGCCGCTTCTCAGGATATAAGCGACTCCATTGCCAATTCTGCATTGACCAAAGCAACCCATCCAGTGCACAAAAACAAACCACACAATCAAAAAACATCCGTCCCTTCAAAATCAATATGCTTAACCAAACCATCCAAAACCAACCGACAAATTGGCAAAACGCTCGGCTACAATTGGCGAAACCACCGGGAGCGGTTGAACTCGGTCACTACTTCAGTGTCTCGCCTGCTGGCCATCCACTGTGGTCACCGGAAGGAAGTCAAAGAGCGCCTATGGCTGGAACATCTACGTGCATGTTCTTAATGTATTGTAACCATTGTCCAGTATCATGTAAAATTCATGTATACCGATTTCTTTGAAGAGTTGACCCTGGGGGCCTTCAGCAAAAACTCGTTCGTAAGCTCCGGAAGCAGACCGACCGTAACGGGCATAGCGACCGGTTGGAACGGCCCAAGGCTTCCTGACGGGATCAAGCAACCGTGGGGTCTTGGTCCAAAGCTTAATTGGTAAAAAATCACCGTCAAATCATCCGACTGGTGCGACGAAAGTAGAGAATGAGGCTGGCTGGATCCGAATCTGTAGTGGTGGGTCATTCCCTTCTTGCCAGTCGCACCAGTCAAGGGTTGTTGTTGCGAACTCTCTCGGCACTCGTCACCTTCGATGTGAGGTGCGGGTTCAAGACTTCATTCACGTCAGGCTGAGGCCTGGCGGCCTGGTGCCTCAAACCGTGATGCCACAGACTCTCTCTCACTGTGCGACTCTTTTGACATTCAGCAGGCTCTGTTTGGCAAGAAAGTGCTTGCACGGCTTTGGCCTTGCGACTCATTTATCGTCTGCCCGTCCAGGAGAGCGGGAGTTCTTGAAACCATGCCACCAATACACGCATAAAAGAACACATGCTGTTAGCTTCACAATTTTCATATGCTTACTACCTGCCATCTTTATCACACATCATTCCTGTCAGTAGGTTCTGTGCTTGTTCCTCCCTGAGAGTCCTTGAAAGTGAATGAAGGACACTGCGGTATCTATTGTTTTCGGGCAACCAACAGTTCCAAAAAGAAACACCTGCCAAAAGCACCTTGTTCCTTTTCCTATGATCCTGTTGGTTGTCCTTGAGGATCAAACATGTTCAAGTAATCTCTCTCTCTCTCTCTCACCTCCGGACCTTGCAAACTTTGAGCTGTTTCATATCATGCGGTTTGGCAAGAATGGAGGGCTGCAAACAATAGCTACATAACTACTCAATTACTCATCCTCTTACCATGTGTGTTTTTTGTTTTACTTCTTTGCTGTTGTCCAACTCTACTGCAAAGATGTCGGACTTCAAACACATACATGACTTCAAGGATTCACAAGGATGTCTAG